GTGTTTACAGGCCAAAACTTGAACGCGGTTTTAAAAACAAAGGCAAAATATTTTTCAATTTTTCTGATTTTCAATAGGGCTTATCCTTGGGTGATTACAAACACTCACACTAAGTTTCGCAAAAATTGCCAAGGGCAATAACTCAAACTAATTATTTTTGATCTTTCTGATTTTAAATAAGGTTCATCCTTGGGTGATAACAAACACTCACACCAAGTTTCATTAAAATCCGTCAAGAATTGTGCCTTCTAGAGTGTTTACAGGCTCTTCAAGAAGAAGGCAATAACTCATACTAAATATTTCTCGATTCTTCTCATTTTCAATAGGGTTCATCCTTGGGTGATTACAAACAACCAGACCAAGTCAAAATCAGTCAAGAATTGTGCCTTCTAAAGTGTTTACGACCAAATGTGGACGGACGGACATGGGTGACGACAATATACGCCCCCGTCCCCCCATTTTATGTGGGTATATAAAAACAACCCCAGTGCTACAAATCATTTTCATACTCTACTGGGATTTTACTGAAATTTGAAGCCGCTATTTCAAGTGCATAAGTGATTGTATCAAAGAAAAATAGATCGATCTAATCCTCAGGGCACAATGTTTGTGGCATTTCATCACATTTATCTTCAAATTTTAAGGTTTTCTTGCAGCAAGAGGCATTATTTATTTGAGTAACAACTAAGTTAAGCTTGTGACATTGTTTTTGTTTTATTTCTTTATTTTTGGAAACTTTAAATTTTAATATTTCAATTATGGGTTTGATCATCAGATTACTATACTTCTGAAAATCTCCATTTATTTTCGTAAAGGTTTTTTTTTTTAGATTAAGACCCCCCGATAATATCAAATGGATAGAATGGTAATGAAGAGTTGCCAATGTTGTTGACCAAAGCATAAAGAAGAATAATGGACATCAGCTGCTAACCAGTCTTGGATTATCCTCACAACAAAACTCTATCATATTGTCCATCTGCGAACCAATAAGTTCATCATTTCGTGTATTACCCGATTCGAGTCTTGAATATTAGAAATCTATGGGACCGGGGTGAAAATATAGATTGCAGTAATAGTTTTAATTAAATTTAATTTAATTAAATGTGTTAATATAAACAGACAAACTTCGCTTATTTTTAAGAAGCATGCAAACTAAAACAGGGTTTCAGCTTATAACTGCCAATTTTATGGTTAGTTGGTCGCTTGTGCTAGGACGCATGTCACTGTATTTTCCTTTTCAAATGAGTTAAAAGTCATTCAGAATAATCGTTGCCAAGAAAATAGCTTTTTATTGAAGTCAAAATAAAATTCCGAACAAGCAAGACAATTTCGTCAATCAAAAATCTCGTCCGAAGTATGACAAAATCGAGAGTAAAGCTAATATAGTAGTGGACTCCTCAAAAGAGAAGTACCAACAGGTGTTTCGAAAAGAGTAAGCATGATCTGCGTCACGTGCGACACCCGCCGTTGTGACAATGGTTAATATCAATTCATGCCAGACCCAAAAATCAGCTAAAATCAGAATTTAATTGGAACAACGTGCATTATATTTAGAAATATATGTATGTGTACTTACCCGTCTTCCAATAAACACGAGAATGGGAGAAAATATTTTCTAGTGTCGTTTTCAAGTTAAGTAACTCTCAGGAGGAGAGTAACATACTGCTGCGGGTTATGTAACTTCAGCATACTTTGATGTTATTGTGGCTGCCAGCGGGTCAGGAGGAGTGGTACGATTATGCTCTGTGGATATAGTTGAACAATCTGGTTTTTTAAATGTTCATATAATTAAAAGCATAAAACATAAGATGAATGAAAAGTTGAATTATTATACATCTGATAACTGTAGAAGTAGAGCGTAGAGCGTAGAGCGATTAACTGAAATACACAATATAAATATGACTGTCAAAATAATGTATAAATCAATCAAAAGACTTGCTACAAATGTCACAAATGTTGGATAACAAATGGAAACCATGGGAGTATAGGCTCATGTATATAAAATGTCAAGGGGTACTTAGACTAATATGGTTCCCAAATGAATCCTAATCTAAAAATATATCTGATAAATAAATAACTGACAAACAATAATAAACTAATTATCACATTCATAAAATAGCGGTTTACTTATGTCAACGCTAAGTAAATTAATAGTATAACGGGGACGTAACTCTTAATATGAAAAAAAAGTTAATTGTGGTCTGACAAATGAAAATACCGCGCGGATTTTAGGTGAATACCCGGTCTGCAAATTATACACACCAAATGACAAAATATGACATAAATATATAAATACCGTATTATTAGACATTCCTGGCCCCTTTTACAATATTGATACAACAATCTGATAAAGTCTGAGAACTAACTGAAAACTGATAAGTTCAAACTGATAAAAAAATGTTAATTTGAGAATTCTACATTCTGCCATGATGGTTCATTTAAAAATGGTTCTTTTTATGCATCAATTGTCACAATAAGAAACGAAAAGATAATATGATATACTAAATTTCAGGAATTAGCTTGTGTACTATTGTGAAAAAAAACGAAATAAGTTTAAAACGTTCAATAAATGCTAAAATGGTCATAACAGATGTCAAAACACAAACGTTAAATTCCTTCTGAGTGCCCGATGTTTGACGAGAATGTAAGAATATACTTTGACGTCAATATGATACTTTTGTAAACACTTATTCACAGAAACACTTACTCCGGGTGTAAATTATACTTTATAAGTTAAGAGGATGAAATCACACAGTTCATAAAATTACAAGTTACATCAATTATGTACGGATATTTTGCAAGGATGACCCTTGATTTATGAAAGCTCTAGAATAAGACCTACTCCTTGACTCACTTTTTAAATTCTAGGTAAGTGGTCGAGACCACACGCAGTATAAAAGAAACATCTGAAGAAGAGTAGTTCAAGGCTTTCGGTTGTTATGATACTGTACATTTGCCTATGACAGATGATCGGATAAAGAAAATAAACGATAAAGACCTTTTTGACAAATTTCGACAGGTATGTCTAGTGTTTCACCATGCTTAAGGGTTAACAGTTCATCGAGTGATAATGGATACGGAAAAGTCCAAAGAATGTGAAAACAAAAATGCAGAGCTCTTCTGGATTGTGCTGAAGAATGATTTTTTGATTTGTCAGGACTTCGGCTAACAAATCGATCTGAATCTAATTGCATGATAATAAGAAAATAAGAAAACTGCACCCTTTTGAATTTATTATTTAGTTCGAAATCAATATTACATTTCCAGATTTTTATTCACATTCATTCAGAATGTATATCCTTAATTAGTTATCACATACTTGACGGGATGTATTACTGCAACAAGTGTACTTCTTATTCTATTCAATTCATTGATTGAAACGTACTGGATTTCTCCAGTAGCGTCTTCTGATTATCCCTTAACTATTGAAATCTCTGATTGCTATTTATAGAATATCTAATGGTTTTCAGGAAGTAATTACTCATGAGAGGTTTTCACCTTCCCTTCATCAGTAATGTAATTGTTCATCAATGGAATGGTATTTGTCCAAAAAGTCAAGGTTAAAATCAAATAATAAATCAATTAGAATACGAGACACAAGAGTGGACAACGAAACAAGAGCAAGATTCATCATAAATTAGCCTTTGAAGAGATCTAGTTCTGAACCGTGACGTCGGTATAGGCATATATTATAAGAACATTCCAAATAATTGAGAAAGGGAATTTGGTTGTTGAGGTGTACATAACCTAAATCTTGAGATTTATCGTGAGAAATTTGAATAAATTTACCAAAATAAACAGCACCAGCTATAAAGACTCTTCGGTTTTGATAAATCAACGCGTGTAGGATTGTTAGAGGCTCGAGGATACCCTGCCTTGATATTGCCAAATGGGTCGAACGCAACGTTGCATGGAGAGTAAAAGTTTTCAACGATACCGGTAATGTAATTATGGATGTCGAGGATTCTAAAACTGCAACATCATTTAATTCCAATCCTTTGCTTGTTAATTAACTTAATTCAATTGGATTATAATAAATCAATACTACAGAAGACACGACATAACATAGCTATATCTTTTAAATCCCGGAAAAACCATTATTCTTGGTCACTTTCAAAGGCACTGCTTTGTATCAATTGCTTTCCTACATAGGACACAATAAACTATCTTATGGAATATCACAGAGTGTTGGTTCTTTCTATTGTGAAATTATCAGATTTTTATGCGCTCACAAGTTTGTCGGATATATTCAAACTTATCTGCTTATGAGTTCGTTTGTCGCTCCTTTTGGAAAACATGTGGTTTAGCTATTTCCCTTGACTTTCTCAAAATATTGAATTAAAACATGTTGGTATGAAATATTAAAACGGCGTTGTTTGCTTTATTTAGTTTGTGATCAAGTGCTATAAGCTAAAACCAGATAGCTGCCATGGATAATTTATCACTGTCAAGTATCTTACAGACTAGATTGAGCAGCAACCTTTAGCAAGGTGAACAAATTAATTTTTCCCAAGTGGTGATATACTATCGGTAGTAGAAATCTAACCCCTTATGTAGTACATGTTTAAACTGAGTTTAATTTCTGCATACACCTTCAAATGATGCTTCATTAAGATTGGAGGAAATAAACCGGAAATTGGGTAATGAGGATAAAATCTCCTTATCCGACAGTTTCTATGTATTTTGTCTTAATGATATTAATTACAGGTTATTTGACTTATTACATCAATTCGCTGAAGCTTAAATAGCCATATTATTACTTATTGTGATTTTTATAAGGCGTTATAATTATGTCAGAAAGCTTTTTTGGACTAACTTCAAGTACTTAAGTCTCGGTCCACCAAATGGCAAGGAATAAGAGGTTTACGTCCGTTTCCTTCTACCTTTTTTCTAGTTGAACTCTGAAACTGAACTTCATTACTGAGAAGGAAATTTTATCCACTCGATTTCAAATTGACTGAGTACACGATTCCCATTTTATACTAATAAAAATTCGTCACAAATTTAGAACAAAAGTTTATTTAAAATTACTGATTTGAAAATAATATTAAAAGACGAACAAACAGAATTTATGTATAGATAAGACAAAAGACTAGCTGAATTAGATAATCTCAATGAAAAAAAGAAACAATAAGGGAGACGAACAGTAAAGAAGTAGTGAAAATAATGGCTGATGCACCACAAGCTGTTGGTCGTAAAATATTTCTCAGTGCTACATATTTATCATAATTCCCAGCGGCTAAACAGGCTTGTACATCCATATCATCTCGTACACATTCTTCTGACATCTGCTGAACTCTGTAAAACAAATTAATATACATTTTGAATCTTTTGGTATGTCCCCACCAGAACTCTTAGAATCAATGATCAAAATTGGCTTGTTTAACTCCTGATAAAATCATCCCATGGCAAGAGATATTAATATTTATTTATTATGATTATTATTATTATATATAAACGAATTTGTTTTTATGCTTTCAAATAGGTTCCGAAATGAATTAATCTTTAAATTAGCTTTCAAATTAACTTTCAAACTAAGTAAATCTTCAAATAAACTTTCAAACTAAGTAAATCTTCAAATTAACTTTCAAACTAACTAAATCTTCAAATTAACTTTCAAACTAACTAAATCTTCAAATTAAATAAATCTTCAAATATACTTTCAAACTACATAAATGTAATGATCACATTTTGCTTTAATTACAATCACTTATAATAGAGATACTTATTGAAAGAATGCATGGAAATTTTATATATTCATCAGTTGATTTACTTGGTGTCATAAATATACAACAGAACCCATGTATAAATCAATGAAACAATGCTTATAAGCGGTTTTCAATAATTGTGTAATTAAAGGAAAATTACTTAGTTTTATGGCATTATCTAGTTTTATGGCTTTATCGAATTACGGGATATGTCCAAAGATGAATATATATCCTTGCTGGCCAAGTTTAAAAATCTAAATTATATGTTCATTCGTAAGTATTCCTTTAACATTCTTTCTATTGAACTTGAGCCAAACACTATCAATTCATTCACTAAAGGGACAGAACACCTTTGAATGACTAACTTATAAGAATCAGACTCAGTTAAAGCTACTGCGATGAACTTAAGATAAATTCTATCATTTCCTCCGATTGAACATTACTCCCCGTTTAATACAAGCGCACTTGAATTCTTTTTATGATCAGATTGGTGAACAGTGCACATCGACAATAATTAATTAATGATTAACCATCTTAAAAGCTAGACCATATTGACTTTCTGACTTTCAAATCAAATCATTAACAACTTGCACAAGCCGTATTTCCTTATAATTTTATATTGCACACTGCAATTAGCTATATGTTATGTATCAATACTATTTAGGTTCTCTAGAATCATTACACCAATTCAACAATTCAACAATTTAACCTTATGTGGAAAGTAAGTGGAGCTATATAGCCCGTTTGGAGCTGATGCAATATAACCATGATAGTGAACGCAACTAAATAAAACCAGAAATAAAAGTTTTTGATTGTAAAAGGATATAATTCGACCTGTCATAATGCTATTTATTAGGTTAATGTCTGATTAATTTTATATTATGTAAATAGAGGTACAATAAATATTTCCAGTTTGACAAACTGTCATCTTTATATTTGAAGAAATTCAAAATTCTGTTAGGTTAGTAGGAAATGAAATAAGCTGCATTAACACACTGGACATTATAAAAACTTAAACATTCCTCACCCGCAATTCCATTCTTTGTGTTTATGGAACATCAAAGCTCTACTAGTTAATGGTGAGTCGTAACCTGCTCTTGCAAGTTTGTTAGCCCCACAGTCTAATACAGAATCTCCAAAACAATTCAAAATTTGGTCCATGGCTGCAAATAGATACAATACATTTTATGAATCATTATCTTGTAGATTAGTGTTTAAGTCAAGGGAATAATAGCTGTAACATTAGCGATGAGACAAGATATGAAGAGCCATATTACCGAATTCCAAAACTGATCAATAAATCATTTTAAGACGTGACCTAAACCTTTATGATATGTTTCCAGCTTCCACAGATCACGGTCACGCCATTCTTGACCTTGATGATTGCAATTGAGTCAGGATATCTTCGATCTTCTTGAAACCAAACAAGACTTACTACAGAGAGGCATTCGAGCCTCATTGGAGAACTAACACTAGAGCCTTCAGTCAAATGACCTGACGTCTTCGAAAGCAAGACAATCAAAGTCCCATGTCAAAGTCATGCTGATAGCATTCTGAGAAGGAGAACTTATCTGAACTACTGGCACACTATTCACGTTCCGTCAAGTTTTGCGTATCTTTACAAACCTAATCAAAGCATTTAACGAAACGACTAAGATAGAACTGAAACAAACTTACATGCTTCATTTTGACATAAATAATCAATAGCTTCTCCATACTTCTCACCAGTTGGTATCAAGGTTTTAAAATCATTATCAGCACAATGTCGATAAGAATCAGCTATACATACTGCTGCAGCTCTGTATAACGCTTGATTTGCTTGCCTAAAATGATTCCAATTATTATTAAGTTGATGGAATTAAGTATAAATGAAGAATATAAATATGACGGGTATTATTAGCTCTAAATGGATTATTCAGAGTTTTCCTAACTATTTATGTGTAGTCGTGACACAGAGAGCATCGATTTGCACAAATTCTACTAAAGCAGCTAATGATATCGAAGTGTCTTTGAGATATTAGCGCCAGAAAAACGCCTATTTTTACTTGGATCACATACTTATGAATTGAAATAGTGCAATGCAAGACACCTGATGCCACTTTTCATTATGCAATACTTACTCATTTATGTTTGATATACTTGCTCATGTAAAAAGTTCATTACCAATGTTTCGCCAATATGTTGGATTTCGGGATTCGTTTTGCAGTTCGGATCGTAGATACATGATTTATTTATGCTATCAGATCATTGACTACGGGAATTCTATAGTAGTAAATAATGCTTAATAGGTGATTGCGTTTTCCAAAAATAATACTGTTCTTAGCATGTTCTTTAGCATGCTTATTACTGCAATACATATAACAACGAAAAACAAGAAGTTCATAACAATATCAATACTTACTTGCATGCTGTTGCTATATCTGTCCTGCTTGTGAAAAGATTTGTCAGGTCAGAGTAAGAAATCCCAGACCCGTAATCACCCGAGGGTAAAGCTTTAGCTCCAGCTTGACAGTCGCTTGTATTGCCATTTATTGAACTGCAGACACCAAGAAATTGTCCATTTACACTGTAGCCTACATAGAAACATGTAGAAGGATTGTAAAAATTGTAAACTTGTTTACGCTTTATAAAACTTAAGAGACCGTGAATTCGACCGATATTTGCAAGTTCCGAATATTCTACACTCTTGCAAACCGTTTACTTTGCAATTACAAACCATATTAATTCATAAGAAATATTGTTTTCCTTTCTTCGAAACAACCCAATTTAAATATATCCACATTTTAATTGATTGTGTGTGCGTAGAAAACAGAAAACATCAATCTTCCAGAAAATTAGAAAATCGGGAACATCGTTTTGCTTGTAGGTAATGATTAGAGTCATTCATTTACACCCCGTGAAAAAAAGGTGACTTTTAAAATAAAAATGTTCTAAAATGTTAAATTAAAAAAAATATATTGAATATCCTCAGTGGCAGATTATCAATTTTGTGCGATTTGGTATATCATATTTTTGGTTGAAATTTCTTTTAGAAAAGTACATCTATTTTAAATGTCAGCTTTCTGTTTTTAAGGACAATTCTTCCGTCCAAAATTCTACATCAGAATAAAAAAAAAATTCATATTGTAAAAATAAAAATTAATTATACTTATTAGCGATCATCTAAGAAAAAGCATACCTAAACAGGCAATAGTTACTAAAACTTGTATAAACATCTTGTCCGATATAATTGCAAATACCACTTTCTTGTTACCAACGACGCGCACCAACTGAGGACAGAATGAATATGCAGGAGAATTTTTAGTCTAGTGTTGGCAAGACACAACGAAAAATCAACAATTTAGGGTGTTTATCACCAATAACAACGAATACGAAAATGAATAAAAGTGATATTATGCCTATTATTAATATCCGAAAATAACACAAATAACACCTCTTTTAGAGGTGAACTAAACTTTGTATCCAAATATATATTATTTTGATAGATTGACACGAGAAAAACTATTGATGGTGGTAATCTACCATGACTGAAATCTATTCATGCTATCTGGAGGTATGAATGGCATAGGTCATATTAGTCTTAGAAAAAAAACAGGTATATGTACTATATTTCATATATATATCACCTCTGTTTCCCCGAAAATGTGAGACGTTCAAAGGACGATGATAATTATTTCGTTCAAAAATCTCCCAACAGACAGGTTAATGACCATATCTACAAATTACTTAGTTTTTAATCAAGAAAAAGCAAAATGAACATGTTTTGGTTTTATTCCTGAATTAGCAAATTTTCTTATTGCTTTTCGTAACTTTCGTTAAATATTTAAAGACTATCGATTGTGTTACGTTATCGTGCCTTAAGATCTTTAGGTTGAGGCACGGCTGGGGTTTTATGATATTAATAACCGAAAAGGACAATAAATAAAAGTGAAATAGGGGTTTAACTCGTATCTACAAGACTCGGTAAGTCTCCAAAACAATAGGATGACTATTGAGAAATATAAAATTATTTAAAATAAATCTTCGAACTATATGAGGACAATAAAGCCAAATTCAAATTGTTCTTTGAATGGTAGCGTATTTTATTATCATACTTATAGCTTTGACGACGAAAAGGACACTAGTATGTGTTTATGTTGAATAGTAGGCTTTAAGTATTTGTCGGTATATGGTGTTTAATAATATATTTCGTTAGAGCATCTCCATAGTAGTTGCCTTACTGATACGTCTGATAAGTCCCAATACTGGAGTATAAAAATACTGTTCCAAATAATGTAACAAAGTTATTCGACATGTAGTTTTTTGTGGGATTTTAGATTCTTCGATTATTACATTGGTCATTTTAACTGCCATGGCTTGGCCGAACCTTCCATTTGTTTATTTGTCGTCAATGTCAACAATTTTAGTTTCTAATAACAACAGGGTGATTAAGAAATGTTTTGAATGTATTCAACGTGTTATTACATGTAAATGCTATCATATATGAACAGGTACTTCTACTATGAGTTATTGATATTGCTCTGTAAAAGTGCATTCATCTGGTGGAATTCTTGAACTTAATCATTTGACATAAAAGTTCGATATTTAGCTCGTTGACTTTTGAGATTACTTATTATGGAAGCGATATCACCACTCGAAATCTGTATTGCTTTTGATCATCAAAACGCGTCCATTGGCTCTTAAATACACCCAACCCAAATTCTAAAAGTATTTTCTGTGAGCAACGATCTTTTTAATGTACTCATAAACTTGCAGTTCGGGAATATTAGGTGTTTAAATTTCATGTTCATGATAACGATTTCCTATTATTTGACATTTATCAGATTATAGAAGTTAAGTCATAATTCTTGAAAGTTGATTGAATGTAACATTTTTCTCTAGCATTCTATCAATGAATATAGTAAATAAAGATTATTAGCTTTGAGCAAACTCTGAAATGGATGCTAGGATGATGAACCATATGATATATGATACTATAAAGACCTCAGGTATTCATGATGCCTTACCCCGCTTATAATGTTACAGAAACTTTTGTAGTGTAGTGCATCTCGATTCCAATTAGGTTTTTGACTTTAAACTGGTTAAATTTAGTTAAACTGGATACCTCAATAATTCTTGGAAGATTTCCAGATGACATGAGGGCATGACAAACCAACCAACCTATATTTTATTCATGATTCAATCATTTCGTATTTCCTATGTCTTGACAACATTATTCACACAAATCTTACGATTAATGTTTCCCTTTATATTTAATTTGTGACGTTTCATTATAGTGTTCCATTTATTTCATAGAATTTATGGGTTATTGTACTTTTCAGTCAAATTTATTTAACGGTTTGGGTTTTTGGCATAAGGTATGCAAGATATAAGGGTGAACAGCCATTTTTTTACTAAATGGTCCTTTCCCAGATTATCCGTTTCCTTATATAATAAAGTCTACAATAATGTGAAAGAAATGATGGCTTATCCAAGATGACCCAAGATGACCAGTCTTTTACATGCAGACCTAGATTAGAACTTACAACAAGCAACGTAACCAAACGGTGTCATAGATTCTAAAGCTCTAACTGTGAAACAGTCCTGACTCTTAAGAATATATGCTAGGAGCGTTATTTAATGTTCGATCGATTTAATATCCGATAATCATCAACACTGGCAATGGGCTGTATATTCTATGCATCTGACGAAAGTTGTTCCCTTTCGAAAAATTATGCATCTTCTAATTTGCATATTGATTCAAATATTCTTTTGAAATTACATGTATCTTCATTTTTGAAAAATTATCTCAAAACGACGATTATTTTATGTTAAAACCTATCCCTAGTTAGTACCTTATATTGGTCTTACTCTTGGGTATCACGGTGAGTTTTTGTTATTTATGGTGTTTGGTCAACCTCTCACTCTATTCACCAAAAACTGCAAAGAAAAAGCCAAGAGTACTTGTTACACATTATTAATTCTTTTATCTAGGTATTTATTTATCATATATATTGTCGAACCTCTAATATCTTTTGGTTTGTTTTTTTTTTGTTATAGCAACCTGCCAAATGTTATGAATTGTAATTGTGACTATATACAAGGGTAACCAATCCAAACTGAATGTTCTGATCTTCTGAACTGCGCTATCAAGTTGAAATACTCCCACACGATGGATTTAACTTTTAAAGAGACAGTTTCGCCTTCTGTTTGACCAAGCGTACCTCGCTCTCATAAAAGGGAATAACTTAATCAGTAAGAATGTTGATATCTCATCGTTTAAATGGTTTGATCCTTCAAATCCATATGTGTCCAAAATTAACCGCGTTAGAAAGTTTAAAAGATGAGTCTTCTTATCGTGTGACTATGTCTTATACAGAGAAGATATATTTAGAAATTGAAAGAAAAACTCATAGTTTGCTGTTCTGACCCATTAAAACTAAACTATTTATATTTTTAAACAAAGATTCTATCCCAATTACTATTTCAGAAAGCTGATGTCTTCATGGACAATTATAGAAAAATCGCATCAATTTGTCTCATATGATACTTCACCGACATATAATTTTTTTAACATTTGTATTGTTCAAGGTACATATACATTACATTTAGCTTATGGTCATAACTGACAAATATTACAGATGTCCTTTCTTGATCTTTGAAATAATTGTCGAAAAGCCTACATCTTTACAAACGACAAAATTTGATATATACATTGTTAGTGCCTTACCAAGGTAATATTATCTGTTATACATGTACAACATGTTGTACGCCATGATACTCTTGAGTGATTATTGAATTTGGGCAATAAGCCTATCAAAAGCGATGTCATTAACAAACACCAACAGCACTGCACTTGAACTGACATTTGGCTTTGGCACTTTTCAAAAACTTTCTGTCTATTCTTTATGATAAAGTATGTGTGCATCTTTTCATGTACATGTACTTGATTTCATCAACACATTATGTTTATTTATTGCACCTACACTAATTGTGTAACATCTATATTTAAATTTTAGTAGCCTGTACATCTGCTGGTGACCATTCCATACACATGTACTTGTGTATATGTTTATGTTTATAATTTATCTAAGATATTGCGTAACATTAGATTTAACATCCTCTTCTGAAAAAGTCCATTAGCGTTACCAATGTACTGCCATTATGTTGTTTTGAATTTATTTTTATATACATACGAGGCAGAGTACTGGTGCATGCACTAGTAAAAAAATAACAAACGACCAACTCAGCTTTTTAAGGTAAATAGATACATTATCCTGATCAGTTCCCTCCCTTAACTATTGAAATTGGAGAAATGTATTTTCTTCAGGTATGTCTCTCGAACTATATGTGGCGCTAGGGATGGCAAGCTTAATCTTCTAGACACCTAATAGCACTTATCATTATAAAATACTTTCTCACTTATGATTGATATACTTGATATAGCTGCTACCAATGTTTTGTACAATTGTTGTTTTGGATTTAGGTTCAGGTGTAGGGAGGGTTTGTATCTCTTGCGGCTCGGATCGTTATTAGGCTAATTGGTTTATCAATCAGTTGTTTTTGTCTTCATAATATATATTTAATTTATGTATGCCCCAATGTGCTGAATGTTATACAGAATCTTACCACTTTGGTGTACTGGGTTTGATTCTGATTCTGAATGTAATAACGCAACCATTTCAGTTAATTGATGAAAATCTTGCTGTACCCAGAACAATACAAATAATGAATATCGCTCAGATGGGACATTAAGCCGAGACAGGCTGTACATGTTTAGTTTTGGAAATTAAAAATGTAGATTAGTGTAGTGTTTTTAAATGGTTCAAATATGTGCAAATATCCTCAACAATACTTCTTAAGAGGGGTCCTTTGATCGGGGCAAGGAAATTAGCTTTTACAGGAGGGCGCTTCAAAGTAACACAAAACTTATGTTCTTTGGGGTAGAATAATAACATGATACTGGGGACTGCTTTATTCCAGCCAAACTTGTTAATGTACTGCCAAATAATTTTATTCAAAATCTAAGCTGCCAGTTGGGGAATATAACCTTGCCTGGCAGGCTATCTTTTTGATACAATTTCTTTAATAATTGAACATATGAACATAACTCTATAAAATAAAAATATTATGAACTAAACAAAATATCGGGAAAGTAGTATTAAGTTTAAAGGGACACACTACAGCAAATTTAAATAGAAATTTGCAAACTAACTTATCAATAGCACATAAAAGTAATGACCTTTTTTTGAAAATCTTAATGGTAAAAAGACACAATAAGGCAGACAAATAGTGAAAGAAAATAATGGCAGATGCTCAACAAGCCGATGGCTGTAAAATATTTTCGAATTCTACATATTTATTATAAGCTCCAGCGTTTAAACAGGCTTGTACATCGATATCATCTCGTGCACATTCATGTGTAATCTCCTCAACTCTGTAAAAAAAAAAGCTCATAAAAAAAAATCCTATAAACTTGACATCCGAACAATTGACCACCCGAATTTGACTGACATGTCAAATTTGCTTTCACTACAAGTGGTTTTTATTTGTCGTTATGCTTTCAATAGATTTGAATTGATAAACAATCTATTAAGTGGAAGTGCTGCACTCGTTGTGAATGCAATACCAGTATGCTTTAAAAATGTCAGAAACCTTAGGATGATAATTTTTTTTGCTGGTCAGTCAGTTTATTTGACTTTATTTATTTACCTTATGTTAGGTAACAATTTTATCATCACAGTACAATTTAAACCGTTTTTAAATATGTTGCCGATTACCTTGCACACAAATGACAAAAAGAAAATAGGATAGAACAACTTTAACTCTTAGTACAGAACAATCATGAACATCACTCCCTATTTTACAAGTCATCAAGTCAATTGGAATCTAAACTTACCCACAATAATACTGTTTATGTTGAGAGAACAGTGCTGATCGGTCACTTGTTGTTGATGCCGTGTAACCTCCTCTAGCTAGTTTGTTAGCACCACAGTCAAAGAAGGGAATCACTCAAACAATTCAATATATTATCAAAAGCTGAAAATTGATAGTGAGAAATTCTTATTTTAGGTGACTTTAGGTCACCAGTTGCGTGTGATTTCGAATAACAATGGAGGTCATAAGTTTGAACGCAACTCTCATGCAACCGAGTCTAACTCATGACCTCTTTCATTATTTCAACTTGAAATCGCTTCGGTAAGAGAGCATTTTAACATCCTAGTTACTATATTTGGTTAAATATTTTCTGATATACAATCTGCCATTGTACCCCTTTTCTACATCTGAACCAGTAACATTGTTTTAATGCAGATCAACTAAACATCGATTCTTTACATTGACAATTCATGACACATATTTCTATCTACCTGTGTTCACTATTTTGCAGGTTTAAATGTTATAGTAGGTGAAATGTGACTTGAAAAATTCATGATACATTTCCTTGTTATAATATTAACTTCGCGTCCTGGAAGTTGTTACAAGTTTGTCTTTTATCAAATCCAAATTCAGTATAAATACATTGATAATGAAATTATTGTGAGTGAAAAGTTACCGGACCCTTGTCAATACATAATACTGTGTAATGGTTAATAGCTGCGGTAGAGAAGTCAAAACGGCCCTATAAAGGGTAGTTGGGGTCAGCAAGGCTCGTGCTTTAGCATATGTTAGATTATTTCATTCAACTATCTTCTGTGGAACATGCCATAGAAACATTTGAACAAACAATCGTTAAGTTTCATTAGGTATATTCCAGTTAGACAGGGTCTTCTCCAAATTTATCACAGAATAAACTGTGCTCGGTCTATCATCATGTTGAAATATCGTGCTGATTTTAAACAAAACATTAACGGAACAAACTTACTCTCTTCATTATCACATACAAAATCAATAGCTTCTCCATACTTCTCACCACTTGGTATCAAGGTTTTAAAATCATTATCAGCACAATGTCGATAAGAATTACCAACGCATACTGCTGCAGCTCTATATTTTTCTTTGTTAGTTGATCTACGGGAAGAGATAAACTAATGGCGTTCAACATATCACAAAAAAATGATGGTCCCTAAACTAAACGTTTAAATTTATATTATACATATATGCGTGTTTTCTTTCATTGCAAAAAATATTTTTATCTCACGCAACTATTAATATGATTGCTCGTAACATTCTACCGAGCAGACTTATATAAATAAACCCGTTGATTACTGTTTAGTGATTTGATATACCGGGTGACACAGACAAAACGATAACACGTTCAGGATTATTCATAAAGTATCAAAGGTAAATCCATAATATTTTAATTTCATATTAAGGGACAACGATGTCGAATTTATATTTATTCATGAAGTATAACTATTATGGCCTGAGCTTTGATACTTTATGAATAACCTGAATTGAAAAGTGTTATCGTTTTTTCTAGGTATAACATTAATACGGCCCCATACGAAAGAGTGGCTTTTCAAATACACATAAAAAATCCATATATCTACCATTCACAAAAAGATAACAAATCTTTAATACTCACTTGCAAGCTTTCTTTACAGCCACCTTGTTAAGGAAAAGACCTTTCAGCTCATATATAGTTAACACTGATGGGTAATCAACTACAGGTAAAGCTTTATCTCCGCTTTGACATTCGGTGGTTTTTTTATTTAGTGTATGACAGGGACCAATAACTTGTCCATTGACACAGTAGCCCATAAAAATTTTATTCAAAAAGATACCAACATTTTTACTGTGATACATGTGATAACAGGAAAATGATTAAATAAAAATTCAATTTTTCGTGCTTAGTGTAAACAGTGTTTCACACCAGAAGTCTACAATGGTATTAGGGTAAGGATCTGCTTAAATTACATGTACTGCAAAAGTTTGTCTGTTAAAGTTTACGCACAAAAGGACAGTATCTCTATTCAAAGACACGTGTTAAAGTTTACGCACAAAAGGACAGTATCTCTACTCAAAGACATGAAGACCTCGTTTGCAGCACTTTCTTAGTATAAGAGGTTAGACGATAATCGAAAACCTTACCTACAACGGCCACAAACAAGACTAATTTATACATCATTCTTCAATTCGAGTAAAATCTGACTTGTTGACTGCTGCGTTTCTTGTTTATTACCTAAGTTAACAGTTTTATATCTCGTCTATGAGCGAACAACTGAATAAAGATTTAAAATGCATGAACCAATCCAATTGCATTTTTCTACTTGATCCAAGAAATTAATTTTTTAAAAGTTACCCGTCAAAAAGTTTTTCCATTATTCTCAAGTATTTTGTTATGGAGATGAGCAAATGTAACTCAAGTCGCACAAAGATCTTTTAGAATTCGGTTATCATTAGCCTATTTTTATTGGAAATTTATGCATATTGCGCAATGGTCCATGATAGAAATATTCAACTTAACTTAAATAAATGTGTGACTCGATCATCAATATTTACCGAATGGAAAAAGTAACGTCATGTCTTTAAAAATAAACTGATACAACTGAACCAGTGGCCATTACATTTTCTATTGTCAATAAATTCTACTGCTGGGTTTTCTTGCCTTAAAGTCCGTTTAACACCTTAAATCAACATTCTCTGATGTCTTTATTTAAAAACGAAACGCTTTTATAATTAAGAAAACATGACGTTTGTCTTTCAGTATAATTATAGGTATAATCTATTTAAACTTTTACTTCGCAGCAAATATACCATACTGTCATTGAAGATAAATCATAGTAAGATAAACAAATTTACAACAAATATGGAGCGATACCTGACAGTTACAAACTTTTCACCATTCACCCTTTAACCATTCACCCTTTAACCATTAACCATTCACCCTTTAACCATTCACCCTTTGCTAATGTAGCAGTTTCAGGCAATTTAAAATAAAAAAGATTCTAGTCAACCACTTCGTTTTACAGTTTCGGCAGATTCTTGAGAATCTACTTAGTATCTGTTGAAACAATTGATTTGAAACAATGGAGATTTTTCAAAAGTTAGTACAAAGATTCCTAGGTTATCCAGGTTACTACTATATCCAAAAGTAGTTTTAGCGGTACCCAAAACCTATCACGTGGATTAATATTAAGATTATAATTGTTGGTAACAAAATGAAAACTATCTTTGACAATAAATAATATTCTGGAGTTCGAAAAACAAACCGAACTCGCCATAAAATACACTTGTTACTAGTCGTTTGCAGAAACGTTAAAGTAAGAGTATACCATTTGACTTACATGGGAGCTACATAAGATGATATTGAAGCAAAAACAATCACAGAGATTACACTGATGTTAACACAGATGGCAGATATAACCCTTTTAAGCAAAACATTTTTTCCGGCATCAAGCTTGCCAGATATGCGAATTTCGGAACATATACAGGGATGTTAATTTATATTGATCTGGTTCTGGAGATCCCCTTGGGATCTTGGTTTTGCTTACACCGACCGAGAGATTCCCTGCATCACATGGGGTATATTGCCCTACTATTTTTGTGTCAACACGTAAAATGAAGTTGTTTTGTTTTAGTCATACTCACCTTTCCAACTGTTATTTGCTCATGCGAAAGCCTCCGGCAGTCTGTCAACACTGGCGTTCGCCTGACAGCAAAACACATTCTGATTGAGTGCAAGCATCTCAAGACCATCACAGCGATATTTACCTTCTCTTTATGACAATTCAAACAATTTGAATATCTTGTTGTCGTGGTTTTGGTTAAGTAGTACTTAGTTGCTGTTGTTTATTTGTGTTTTAATGCCCTTTTTGGTTTACCAGTGTGTTATTAAGGTGCTTTCTGTGATATTGCTTTTATCTGTGGGTTTTTTTTTGCATCGTTATATTTTTTGATCCAATGTGTTCATACCTTTGTAGATTTAATTTTAGACTTTTCATATTATTATGTTCAAGTGCAACTGTTCAAGTGCTGGTGCAACTAAATGCATTTCATATAGGGGTTTAGGGGACTTCTATATTCCATTCAACCATTACTGTACCACTTAAAAAATGGGTACTTCCTGTTTATAGCAATACATAAATATCTATGCTCATTAATTTGTGTTGTAAAAACTAGCTCAGTGTCAAAACTTTCATTCACCATATACAAACTATTTTTTAAAAAGCCGTTTAGAGAACAAAGTAAAACGAACGAACTAAAAGAATAATACAAAAAATTATAATTAGCAAAAATAAGGTCGGAAAAGTAAATTTGAAAATTTCAATAGAAAAAAGAAACAATAAGGGAGACGTATAGTAAAGAAGTTGTGTAAATAATGACTGATGCACCACAAGCTGTTGGTCGTAAAATATTTCTCAATTCTACATGTTTATCATAATTCCCAGTGTTTAAACAGGCTTGTACATCAGTATCATCACGTACACATTCTTCAGAAATCTCCGCAACTCTAAAAAAAGAAATCATGTACAAATGGAAACAGAAACAAATGATTACTTGCATTTGCCCGATGTTGATTTGGATGTCAACATTAAATGGCATGCTTTCAGAAGGTTTAAACTGAAACTGATGTAACTGTGATGACAAAACCATTATGTTTAAAACTGCATCATTAGGTCAACTGATCGGTCAGCTCGCACGTAGCAATTTAGAATTTTTTTGTACAATTTATTGCGTTAACAATTTTGTTAACTTTACAGTCTACCAGTAAACTGAATTATGATAATGGACGATTGTATTTAAAGGGGTGGATATAAGAGAAAAGTGTAGAAACTACCAACTTTTCCTCCAGTAATGCAGCAATTAAAACATGTAAGACATCTTAACTCACATTAACTAACTAGCTTTTGCAAAAGATTTAATAAAACCTTACCCACAATGTAACTTCTTATGGTCAGAAAAAGGTCTTGATCTTGTTAGTGATTTTGACAGCGACTCGTATTCCCTTCTGGCAAACTTGTTATCTCTGCAATCTTTGTAAGAATCACTTAAACAATTTTTAAGCAAAATGTGTAATTTTAAGATTATGTTCATGATAGTTTCAATTTAAACCAGTTACAATTATTTATTATCACATATACTACATATACGATAAATTCGATGCAATGGTCGATCTGTTATTACATTAAATTACATTAGTCTAACTCAAAACATCTCAAAACAAACACAATGAATAAAGTGTTTCCCGTCCAGTATCTGGTTAAAATAAAATTGGTTATCTATTTTACTGTGTACATAATAGATGAAATACAACAATCAACAACGTTGAGTTGAAACAAACTTACTCGCTGCATTATCACATACTAAATCAATAGCTTCTCCATACTTCTCAATCATTATCAGCACAATGTCGATAAGAATCAGCTATACATACTGCTGCAGCTCTGTATTTTTCTTTGTTTTCTGATCTACGGAAGAACAAATTGCATTCAATACATAATGAAGAAAACTTATCGCCCATTAATTGAACATTCAGTGCAGGCACAATGGATTGACATAGGTTGATAAAAACGATATGAACTCGTAGCACGAGTAAATAACAATGCAAATTAGGTTATGTATTCGTGCACCATGTTAACAAAACAACATGGCATTCTTTGAATTTGACCACTCAGTTAAAACTGAAGGTAATGGGCATGAACTTGTTCCAAATAACATAACTTTGATTACAAGTCTCAATTTATCTAGATATTATTTATTTCGCACAATGACATTTTGCAGAATAGTAGATCCATATTGAAGACCTTACTCTAGCTATTATATAGAGCAAATAATTTAAGGACCATTTGCGTATATTGATAGTTCTGTGATTAATAGAATCTTTCACTCGTGCTTATTGTAATATGAAATAAATATTTTCACACTAACTATTGCCAAATAACTATAACAACAGTACTCACTTGCAAGCTATGTTTATAGTTTCATTGTTTATTGGTTCGTCTGCGAAAAGCTCTCTGAGACCATTTATATCAAGTTTATATGGGTAATCAACTGTAGACAAAGCTTTATTTCCACTTTGACACTCAGTCGTATTAGCATCTAGTGTAGAACATGTATCACCTTGACACTGTAGCCTATTTTATGAAAATGTTGTACAATTATATAATTGCGACTTTTATCAAGATTTTTGCTATGTAATAAATATAATATCCTGCTTGGTTAGAACTGAAATCCGCCATGTTGTAATACATGTTAGAAATAAATCATGCATTTGACATCGCTTTGAAACGATAGGAAAAATTCCGCAGGTTGACGATGTAGAAATAACCCATGTTTATCAAACACACAAATGCAGATGTAAATTATTTATCATTTTCCTGAATGTACGAAATTAGGTTTGCACGAAATTAAGTTACTTGACTGTACATAATTATATAACAACTAGAAAACTTCATTTTATCCCCTTTCTAAACATAAGATAATAACCTTACCTAAAAGGCCACAAACAAGACCAATTCATTCTCGTATTCCGAGTAAAATCTGATTTGTTTCCTGTTGCGTTTCTTCTTTATAACTTAAGTTACTAATCAACAGTCCTTTATATCTCGCCTATGAGCATTGTTAAGTAACAATTGAAAAAAAAATTAAATGCATGAACCAATCACATTGCGCACTTTCACTTATTAAAAAATTAGATTTGTTTATAGTTCTCAACGCCTAGCTACTCACATTCATTCCCATTTGGCCTACTTTCGACATGCAAGGATTTTCTATGATTGGGGCTATCATGCACCTATTTATGAAAGAATATTTGCATATTTGGTTTTGATTTATTAACATAAACTTTATTACTTATATATTATTTGTATATCGTTTTTTTTTTTGGTACGGTATATAAAAAATGTGCCATGCAGGAAGTACTGAACTTCATAGAAAACTGGTTGACCCAATTAGCTAATAAGTGTTGCGCTTGGGTCTATACAGTTTCCGTCTGTTTTCCTTTATAAAGTCAGTTTTAACCATGAATTCGAACGAGCAGAACTAACCAATCGAGTGATATAAATGTTGTCAGCAAGTAATATATGTCATCAAAGTAGTGCCTATATGATTATATATATGAACAATTTGCAAGCTAGGTTTGTCAAACTTGAACTCAGAAGTAAAATAAAAAAAAGGAGAAGTGAAAATATGTTTAACACGCTATGTATAAGTTCGGTGAGGCAAAAGTTACACACATCCCTGTTGAAATATTCGTAGGGTTAAAAAGAAAGTTTGTGCGAACTGTATATAATATAATTGCTCACAAATTTGACACACTTACAAACAGTATTTGCATTTCTGGGATTAGGTTTGTATAAGCACTCTAAAAGAATATATGAGAAAGTTTAGTGATCCGTACTAAAACGCATTGAAAACACAAAGGTCGTTTGACAAGTGTAGTAACATCTCCATGAACGCATTAATCAACTGGACCCCTGTTGTGTTATCGCTTATCGCTTTGGTATTAAGCTTTAGATGAAATGGCAGATCAGTGTAAATGCTGTATACTCATAGCTAACTATTATTGCTCTTGTTCTACATCGAATGATTGACATAGCGTTTGCAGCAAGGTTAACATTGTCTTAATTTAGATCTAGTTGATCATTACGAAATTTTGACAAATTAATACACTTTCATATCAAGCAAAGTTTCCTATTTCGGGCATAACTAAGAAATATGGAATATATTTTAACCATTTTTAACAAATATTTCATCAGAGGGGTGTACACTTTTGGTTGCGCTATATTGTCATCACGGTAAACATATATGTTTGAAACAAAACTTTCTCTGGATTTGTTATATAACATGCTGGATATTTTCAGCTTATTGTTACGGACCCCTTACAAAATCAAATTTCGACAATGTAGCTGTACGTCGTGTGATTTGTTTGTGATTTCATTTGAACGCACTAAAGCATGCATAATGTTTTCTTAGAATTAATCAAATCATATACCATATTCTGCTTTTATTTTTTGTGGTAACGAGTGCATATTTGAATATAATAATATTATTGCCTAATTCAATACAAATAAAAAGAATCAACAGAAAAAAAAAACATAACAAGAAACGACATTTTAGTACAAGTTCTAATATTATATGCATTATAATGCAACGAATTAATAACTTCTATACATAAATAAAGTGTAGACAAATTGTTTATAGGGCGTGGACGCTTTTATAGAACACTGTAGATACGTTAAGTTACGTGTACCTGTTGACGGGCTGAATTCGGTCTATTGTTGTACTCTTTCCTAAGACACAATGAATGGAGGCAGATTAAAATATATAACAATTCTTCTTTATTTTCATCTTACACTTTGGAATCTACATTTAATCGAGAATCTACCCCAGACTTAACTTAACGCGATCCTCTTCAAAGTCAACAAATAAATGAATCTCTCCAACCTCCCTATTGGAATTACCTTTGCACATTAGGTATACTTATGCTGTGCCGTAACAACTCCATTGTGCTATCTTTAATTCAGTTTCGACTCATCAATTATAACATGGCTACAGAAGCGTGATGAAGTGCTGTTGTTCTGCATTGCATGAATGTCACCATGTAATCATTTAATTTCTTTATTAAAGATGGGTTCCTACATTTTCAATTATAAAAAGGAAAATGCTAATACTTATATTAATAGAACGTAGAAGTGTTCTAATGACTTGGAAAATTCCAGTGTGTTTCACATGTCCATAATTAATTCATAATTAGCTCAATTAGAAGAGAATTACCTGGTTCAATGAGTGACCTAACAAGAAAGTTCAAAAAGTATTTTTTTATCCTGACTGTACATAGGCCTTACATGGACATTTATAATTGGTTAAAACTCTTAATTATATGCAATAAGAACATTATGATTAAGAATACATGATAATTCATTAGAAACACCAATTTATCAAATAGATTGCTTAATTTGATGATGTGTGGGTTCAGTATAATAAATTGTAGTCTTATTAATGACATCATACTTTAATTTCCATCCGCCATTGAATTTTTGTTCCAAGAAATAAACTAGCATAAACACACAATAAAAAAATTTTTTCGGTATCGGGGTGTTGATACAATTTCATTAATAACACTAAAACTAACGAAAAATGATGCACACTATCAGAACTAAGTGAATCAGCAGTGTTATTATAGAATCCAAAATCCAGACGTTAATCAGTATTTTTTTTTAAAACTGGATAAAACCTTTTGAACATTTAGTATTTATAAATATATTATGTAGAAATAATGATGATAATTTTTAACGAATATCTACTTCTACTGTATACTGAACAAATAATCAAATAAAAAATACAAAAAACACAAATAATCAAGTAACCCTACAATATATAAACCCTCCCTGATATTTGAATCGCCCTTTACCTTTACCATCTTTATTGAAACTTCCCTATTTCTTAAACTGTCATGCAGTGATACAAGTAAAGGCGTATCATCCCCACAAAACGTTCAAAGCACCCAGGGCTAGAAATAACCTCTGGATTTGGCCAATAATTTTGAGTGTGTGAGTATGTACTGCCAATAAAATGTCCTTTCTGATTTAAAACTAGCGTAAATAAATAAATATGAAATCTTATGAAAGCCGATTCCTAGACAAGCTCCAAGACTGTATTTGTCACTACTGCCCGAATTCTAACTTTAATATCTCCATCATTTTATATTTTTAAACTTTCGAATTCATAGCAAACCGCATTCTTTACCGGCCATGGACAAATTTGTTAGGACAGGAGAAACCTCATGAACAGGTCAACGTAAAGGACATGGGGGTATAATTTTATAAATATTACTTATCAGTAGCAAACCAAAAGACAGTAAACCTATTTTGAAAATCTTATAACATTAATGGAAAAGGGAAGCAATAAGGGAGGCAAATAGTAAAGAAGCTGTGAAAATTATGGCTGATGCACCACAAGCTGTTGGTCTTAAAATATTTCTCAGTTGTACAAATTTATCATAAGTTCCAGTGTCTAAACATTCTTGTACATCAATATCATCTCGTGCACATTCTTCTTCAATCTGCGCAACTCTTTAAAAAAAAACCATTTAAGCTCATCAACGTACGATTCGGAAAAAAGGTCGTCTTGTCATATAGCGACAACGACAATACCTAGCTCTGATTGCATTAGGCGCTGCTACGGAAGTAGCAATAATATAAAGTATACAAGTGTACAGTTGTTAAATGTCAATGAGAATTGAAACTAAACAAATTGGTCATCTTATATTAACATTAATGCGGCAGAATGGGTTGATATGAATATATGGGGTATGTTAAAGGAATACGTTATATAACAAAACTTACCCACAATAATATTCCTTATAGTCAGAGAATGGTTTTGATCTGTCAATTGATGTTGTGTAACTTCCTCTAGCAATCTTATTTGCGGTACAGTCATTGTAGGAATCACTCAAACAATTCAAAATATGATCGGCGGCTGCAAATTCATAGAATGCAAAATGAATAGAATAAAAGAAGAATTTTTAACAATAATATTGAAATATTCAACCACTATGTTCTCAATTCTCAATCTGAACCAGTAAATTAAGCAGATCAACCATTGACTTGTATAAAAGGGCGACGTAAACTATTCAATGGACGCAAAAAAGGAAATGTGTACATTAGTTGAAACAACAGACTTTTTATTTTTATTTGATTTCCTGAAATAATCCTGTTTGGTCATTTTTATTAAAACTGATGTATATCTCTTTCTGGTTTCTGGATATCTGTGACCCAGTAGGAAATGTCAACTAACTGGACAATAAGAAAATTATTTAATCAGGCGGTCAATTTGGATTTTTGAAAATTTTCGACAGAATTCATTGAATTTATCGGTTACCTAGAGTATTCCTGATTTGTGATTCATAGATCATAGATATTTGATTGTATATTTTGTGCACAAGAGACGACTTTAAACAGAAACTACTTACTCTCATTATCACATGCAAAATCAATAGCTTCTCCATACTTCTCACCAGTTAGTATCAAGGTTTTAAAATCATTATCAGCACAATGTCGATAAGAATCAGCTATACATACTGCTGCGGCTCTGTATTTTTCTTTGTTAGTTGATCTACAAGAACAAGTAAAAAAAATCAGTGAAATATTTACTGATCCAATTTCTACAGGGATCGCCAGAACTTTTTTGCATCAACCAAAATATACTAAAACATTTTTGATAAACATCCGATCCGAGTTTTCACGTACGTTCATTACAGTAAACCAATGAAAAGTTAGCCGATCATCACAAAAATCCTTAGGAATCTGCTTTACCTTAAAGTTGCAACACACCAAAAAAACGTAAAAAATAGTCGCTTTCTCGCGTAAAATTCTGTGATGAAAATATCAAATCATCAAGGGAATGAATGTACCTTACAATGAGCACATAACAAAATATGAAAACAATCTGTTTAACTTTGCAGCCTGTAGTTCAAGATAGTACTCTTCGAAAACTTGAATTTCCACCCGGTGAATATTAATTTTCAACCGGATGAAAATACAAGTTTTTAATTAAAAAGTATGTTTTATAATTATATTTCAGTTTCTTAATTCGAAATTGAAAAAAACCAATGATGTCGTATACGAGCCACCGTAAGCTTCAGACCAATGATAAAATTCTGCAATGATGGATAAGAATCATCCTTAAACTGGTACAGATCCAGATTAAGAAATTTCATTCAAAAACTGTTGCCGGTTGAGTGGGTACAAGTTTCGTGTGACCAAACTCATGGTCTGACAGAATATTTTACTTCGTTGTAGAGGACAAAATGAAAAACTAAACGTCAAATATTGATATATTGACAAATAACGATTTCGCCACTGCAAAACTTACTTGCAAGCTATCTTTATAGCTTCTTTGGTTGTGAAAAGTTTTTTCAGAGCATCCATATCTATTCCTCTTGTGTAATCACCTGATGGTAAAGCTTTATCTCCCCTTTGACACTCTCTTGTTTTTGTACTAAATGTAGAACAGGTATCAATATCAATAACTTGTCCGTTGACACTGTAGCCTATTTTAAAAAGATTTTATAATTTAAAAAAACAATAATAAACACATCATCTTAAGATATTTTTAGACGTTTTCTTTCACTGATTTGAGATTTTAAATTGTTCAGAGGTCTTTAACGTGAAAGTCTGCAGATTATGTGGTCTCAGTTTATCGACCCTTCCGAAGGACTATACGATTTTTCATGTCACCCCTTGCATCACACTATGTACATTTAAAGAATGCAATTTTGCATTGTCGTTTTGAACGAATAGGAGGGAAGTTTAAAACAAATCTAACAAATATGTAAGCCATTTACAACTCCATCTTTAACCCCTTTGTTTTCAAAGTTTCGTACCCCTTTCAAAGTTGACGTTCGTTGTATAATGTCGTCACCAACGCAAAGGAGTCAATATTTATGTTTATTATTAATAAATTATTCATGGAACGATAGAAAAAGACTTGCACCGAAGTGTATACCTGTTTCTCAGATAACCAAGGCGATAATATATATAACACATCTATTTGAAGTTTATATGATTGTGAGTTGTACTTGATAGAAATAATAATTTAGACCGGCTCTTCTATTCTTTCCTATTATGAATGTAAGTACATTACATCTTATCTTATGCAATCAGGAATACAATATGAACATGAATATATTGAGTACCTAACTTTTTCATCCTACTAATAAAATCAGTCTGCCATCTTAATATGCACAGTAAAATTTACTCCTAATTTTTTGTCATCAAAAATACTATTTGTAACACCCTTACCTATGAAGACCACGCATAATACTAATCTATTAATCATCACAATTGCATGAAATCCAGAATTTTATAGCCTCGTGGAGGTGGCAATGGTATCATTTTCAGTTGTCAGAAGAATTGCTCTGTCATATCTGGTATTCACTGGTAAATAAGTGTGTCTAAAGACGAGTCTTGAATATGTCCACTGAATTTGCATCTTTAACATGTTTTGGTAGATTATTGATTGAGTTATTATCAAGATATTTTTTAATTCTAACAATTTGGAAAAGCTGAAAATTACAGGATTTTGACAAAGCGGCAATCTGTTTCATTAGCTGCGAAAAATTTGAAATCTCCAGATGTAGTGTGTCATTCTGTGAATAAAAGATTTCGCTATCCACTTCACAATACGTCACTCTTTATAAGGGTTCATAATTTAAAATGAACTAAAATGTTCCATATAATTTTTCTGCTGACATGGAATTCGCTAGTTTGTCATGTTTGGCCGATAAAAAAATTGTGCCATTTGGCTATAACTGAAATCCGCCATGTTGTACAGTCAAGTAACCTAATTTCGTCGAAACCTATTATTCGTAGATTTCCGGAAACGATTAATAATTTACTAGGGCGACCTTGCGCGACCTCCGCATTAGTTTGTTTTGATAAACATGGGTTTTCTGTACAACATCAGCTAGTAGAATGAATTCAGTACTTTCAATCAAGGTAAAATGTATTAATGTATACTTTGACAAATACAAAATGGCGGATTTCAGTTATTACCAAACGTCTCAATTTTTTATCGGCCGAATTTCCTTATAATCCTACGCTGTAATCGGAACTCCAAGTGTCGTCTGCTAGAATGTAGTCCAACGAATGAAGTCACGTGATCAACTAGCGATTCCGTGTCAGCAGAAAATTTCTATGGAACACAAAGTGGACCATATTCTTATGTTGTTTCAGTGACTTTTAGCAATAAATCACGCTAGGTATCTTATTTTGTCAGTCACTATTTTTTTAAAATCGTGGTTCTTTGAAGGAATTGTCACTAGTTATAATGAATTGATATTGAAGATAAATACTAAGAGAAGTTAATTATACCACATACAACGTGTTTTTCTCGACTTATTTATGTATCAAACATTGTACACGAAAATAGGTGACGCATTCTGCCGCCGTTGCCGAGTTGGTTGCTCATGAAATATGGGTCAAAGTGAAGGATTCATCAAGAAAATCGAAATAAACCAATTTTAATTATTTTGTGGAATATCTGAGGAAACATCTAAGACATAAAAAAACTTTTTTCGTTTTTTTAAAACTTTGACGAAATTCGGTGTTAAATCCTTATATCCACGAAAATAGGTTACACCACTGTATATAGGTTAGAAACACATTATAAATTTGACAGCGCTTTGAAATGAGAGGAAAAATTCTGCCATAACCCATGTTTATCAAACACGCAAATGCGGATGTCATGCGAGGTATATTATTTATCATTTCCCTGAGATGTACGAAATTAGAATCGCACGAAATTAGGTTACTTGACTGTACATAATTATAAAAAAAAACTACAAAACTTCATTTGACACCCTTTCTAAACATAAGATAATAACCTTACCTAAAAAGGCCACAAACAAGACCAAATTATAAATCATTCTCGTATTCCGAGTAAAATCTGATTTTTTTCCCGTTTCTCCTTTATAACTTAACAGTCCTTTATATCTCGTCTATGAGCATTGTTAAGTAACAATTGAAAAAAAATTAAATGCATGAACCAATCACATTGCGCACTTTCACTTATCAAAAAAGTAAATTTGTTTATAGTTCTCAACGCCTAGCTACTCACACTCATTCCCATTTGGCCTACTTTCGCCACGCAAGGATTTTCTATGATTGGGGCTATCATGCACCTATTTATGAAAGAATATTTGCATATTTGGTTTTGATTTATTAACATAAACTTTATTACTTATATATTATTTGTATATCGTTTTTTTTTTGGTGCGGTATATAAAAAATGTGCCATGCAGGAAGTATTGAACTTCATAGAAAACTGGTTGACCCAATTAGCTAATAAGTGTTGCGCTTGAGTTCTGGACAGATTCCGCCTGTTTTCCTTTATAAAGTCAGTTTTAACCATGAATTCGAACGAGCAGAACTAACCAATCGAGTGATATAAATGTTGTCAGCAAGTAATATATGTCATCAAAGTAGTGCCTATATGATTATATATATGAACAATTTGGCAAACAACCTACGTTCAGTAATGTACAAGCTCGATAAAAAAAAACGCTAGGTTTATCATACGTGAACGCCGAAGTAAAGTTAAAGAAAAAAAAGGGGGGGGGGTGAAAATATGTTTAACACGCTATGTATAAGTTCGGTTAGGCAAAAGTTACACACATCCCTGTTGAAATATTCGTAGGGTTAAAAAGAAAGTTCGTGCGAACTGTATATAATATAATTGCTCACAAATTTGACACACTTACAAACAGTATTTGCATTTCTGGGATTAGGTTTGTATAAGCACTCAATAAGAGTATATGAGAAAGTTTGGTGATCCGTACTAAAACGCATTGAAAACGCCATGGAAGCGCAAAGGTTGTTTGACAAGTGTCGTAACATCTCCATGAACGTATTAAAAGCTCAGTATCAACTGGACCCCTGTTGTGTTATCGCTTATCGCTTTGGTATTAAGCTTTAGATGAAATGGCGGATCAGTGTAAATGCTGTATACTCATAGCTAACTATTATTGCTCTTGTTCTACATTGAATGATTGACATGGCGTTTGCAGCAAGGTTAACATTTTCATACCAACCAAAGTTGCCTAAGAACGGGGTAATGGAATATATTTTAACCCTTTTGCTACAATTTTTAACCCTTTTTAACAAATATTTCATTAGAGGGGTTAACACTTTGGTTGAGCTACATTGTCATCACGGTAAACATATACGTTTAAAACAAAACTTTCTCTTGATTTGTTATCTGACATGTTGGATATTTTCAGCGTATTGTTACTTGTTACTGACCCCTTACAAGATCAAATTTCGAACAACAATGAAGAAATACGTCTTTAGAATTTGTTCGTGATTTTATATGAACGCACTAAAGCATGCATAATGTTTTCTTAGAATTAATCAAATCATATACCATATTCTGCTTTTCTTTTTTGTGGTAACGAGTGCACATTTGAATATAATAATATAATTGCCCAATTCAATACAAATAAAAAGAATCAACAGAAAAAAAAAACTTAACAAGAAAAGACATTTTAGTACAAGTTCTAATATTATATGCATTATAATGCAACGAATTAATAACTTCTATACATAAATAAAGTGTAGACAAATTGTTTATAGGGCGTGGACGCTTTTATAGAACACTGTAGATACGTTAGGTTACGTGTGCCCATTGACGGACTGGATTCGGTCTATTGTTGTACTCTTTCTCAAGACACAATGAATGCTTAACACGATCCTTTTCAAAGGCAATAAATAAATGACTCTCTCCAATCACCCCAAAACCTATGCGCTTTAGGTATACTTATGCTGTGCACCAAGATGGTTTCTTAATTAAGGAAATCTGTGTATAACTGATCTTAAACCATCTCCTGTGTTCAGTTAATACTTTTAACTGATCCACATAATTATGCTTTTATTTTTTATGTCCCCGACAGATGAAAAGATGCTGTATAAAAACAATGGGACTCTTATAATGTAGATATCAGCTGTGCCGTAACACCTCCATTGTGCCATCTTTAATTCAGTTTCGACTCATCAATTATAACATGGCTACAGAAGCGTGATGAAGTGCTGTTATTCGGCATTGAACGAATGCCACCATGTAATCATTTAATTTCTTTATTAAAGTATGTCTTGTTGACCTCGAATACACGAAACCAACCATAAATCAATGTTATTCTGAGGTAATTTCGAACTTACTGCTTTACTTTATATACTTTTATGTACAGGTGTGCAATCAGATATTAACTTTTTATTTTCATAAATAACAAATAAAAATGTTATTGAATTCGGACAAGTTAGTGTTGCCTTCAGTTGCGTATTCGTATTACAATTCAGAAAGTTCGTATATATAACGGGTTTAAATCAAACCTCTAATAAAATACTATGAACTAATTTGAATCACGATTCGAATTCAAATATCAAAACAGAACCTGTTACATGATGAAGCTCAGTACTGTGCGTACTGTAGTACTTGATCTCTGAGTCTATTTCGAGAAAATTGAGGATCGTTTGTTATACAGTGGGCAATGGGGGACACTTGTCAAAACAGCGTCGACGTAAATTTAGATGTGAGCATTTTTTTCAGATTCACAAATGCGTTTTAAATGACGATAAGCCTGGTTTTTGATGTGGGGGTCCAGTATAATAAATTGTAGTCTTATTAATGACATCATACTTTAATTTCCATCCGCCATTGAATTTTTGATACAAGAAATAAACTAGCATAAACACGCTATAAAAAAGTTTTCGGTATTGGGGTGTTTCATTAATAACGGGACATAACTCTATATAAAAGTTTGGACTATAAAAAATCTCAGAAAACCTGTATTCAGTTTAAAAGACACACACTAAAAAAGTAATGACACACACTAAAAAAGAAATGATGCACACTATCAGAACTAAGTGAATCAGCAGTGTTATTATAGAATCCAAAATCCAAAAGACATTTATCAACATTTTTTATAAAACAGGATATATCAAGGTTATATGAAATAAACTATTATTATTTATAAATATATTATGTAGAAATAATGATGATAATTTTTAACGAATATCTACTTCTACTGTATACTGAACAAATAATCAAATAAAAAATACAAAAAACACAAATAATCAAGTAACAAAGGACTCTTTCAAGTAACCCTACAAAATACTACAATGTCACTACTGCCCAAATTCTACAGAAGAGTAGGACGTAAAACTCCATTCATTTCATCTTCATTTTGCCCAAATTCTAACTTTAATATCTCCATCATTTTATATTTTTACACTCATTCTTTATCGGCCATGGACAAATTTGTTAGGACAGAAGAAACCTCATGAACAGGTCAACGTAAAGGACATGGGGGTATAATTTTATAAATATTACTTATCAGTAGCAAACCAAAAGACAGTAAACCTATTTTGAAAATCTTATAACATTAATGGAAAAAGGAAGCAATAAGGGAGACAAATAGTAAAGAAGCTGTGAAAATTACGGCTGATGCACCACAAGCTGTTGGTCGTAAAATATTTCTCAATTCTACAAATTTATCATAAGTTCCAGTGTCTAAACATTCTTGTACATCAATATCATCTCGTGCACATTCTTCTTCAATCTGCGCAACTCTGTAAAAAAAAAAGAATTTAAGCTCATCAACGTACGATTCGGAAAAAGGTCGTATTGTCGTATAGCGACAACGATATCTATCTCTGGTTGCTTTAGTCGTTGAGTCCTAGTCCTGACCTCGATATATGGAAACCCGAAAAATGTCATTGCGTTTATACTTGGCATGGTTAATTTTGCAATCGCAGTCAACTTTACCTTCGTGTTTCGATAACAGTTTGCAGTCGTTGTCGAGGTCCCTTAATTAGCTCGAAGCTTTTAATAAAATCCTGCTACGGAAGAATAATATAAAGTATACAAGTGTGCAGTTGTTAAATGTCAATGAGAATAGAAAATGAACAAACTGGTCATCTTATATTTACATTAAATGCGGCAGAATGGGTTGATATGAATATATGGGGTATGTTAAAGGAATACGTTATATAACAAAACTTACCCACAATAATATTCCTTGTGGTCAGAGAATGGTTTTGATCTGTCAACTGATGTTGTGTAACTTCCTCTAGCTACCTTATTTGCCGTACAGTCTATGTAGGAATCACTCAAACAATTCAAAATATGATCGGCGGCTGCAAATTCATAGAATGCAAAATGAATAGAATAAAAGAAGAATTTTTAACAATAATATTGAAATATTCAACCACTATGTTCTCAATTCTCAATCTGAACCAGTTAATTAAGCAGATCAACCATTAACTTGTATAAAAGGGCGACGTAAACTATTCAATGGACGCAAAAAAGGAAATGTGTACATTAGTTGAAACAACAGACACAAATAAATTTCAATTGATTTGATATTCTGATTCGATTTCATTTAGTCATTTCTGGATAAAATGATGTATATCTCTTTCTGGTTTCTGGATGTCCGTGACCCAGTCAACTAACTGGACAATAACAAAAATACTTAATCAAGCGGACAAATTGGTTTCTTGAAACTTTTCCCCCAGAATTCATTGCATTTATCGATTACCTAGAGTAGCCTCGATTCGCGATTCATAGATTATCGGGTGCGCATAGTCATAGAAATAATATCGACTCTTAAATCTAAATATTCTACTTTCTTATTTCTCTAAATCTGATAGTATCTCTCGTGCACAACAGACGACCTTTGACAGAAACTACTTACTCTCTTCATTATCACATACTAAATCAATAGCTTCTCCATACTTCTCACCAGTTGGTATCAAGGTTTTAAAATCATTATCAGCACAATGTCGATAAGAATTAGCTATACATACTGCTGCTGCTCTGTATTTTGCTTTGTTTTCTGATCTACAAGAACAAAATAATGTTTTTTGGTTTATTTCAAAAATTGTTGACCATTCCTTTAACCTATCAAGATAGCTTGCAAGGCAAGGTAATATACACCCAGTGGCAGCTTTGATTTTAAACAAAAATATTTGGCAGTAAGCTTACAGTAACAATTACCAGTATGAAATATTCAACCTTCAGTCTTACACTTCTTTTGAACTTTTGGGGCGATACTGTATACTATTACCAAGATTTGTCAAAATCTGGCAAGAATTGGGCCTTTTAGAGTGCTTACATTCTAAAATTTGAATCCGTTTTAAGAACAAGTGCAATAACTCAAATTAAATATTTTTCGATCCTTTTATTTTTGATAGGGATCATTCTTGGGTGGTAACAAACACTCACGCCAAGTTTACTTGAATGCTAAAAAAATGAATGGCAATAACTCAAATTAAATATTTTTCAATTCAAAATGTTGACAGTAAAAATAGTCGCTTTCTCGCATAATTATATCATATCATCAAAGGAATGAATGTACCTTATCTTACAATGAGCACAATAACAAAATATGAAAACAATCTGTTTAACATTGCATTCCGTAGAGCAAGAGCGAGATTGTATATTTCTCTTCAGCCTTCTGTGAATTCATTATCACGGCCATAATGAATAAGCTTGCATCAAACTCATCCGAAATTCTAATCTGTAGGAGTGAGCACTGGGTTTAATTGTCCAATTGTCAGACCAACGATAAAATTCTGCAAAGATCGATAGAACCATACTTAATCTGGTACAGATCCACGATGATTAACTTTCAGTCAAAAACTGTAGCCGGTTGAGTGAGTACGAGTGTCATGTGACCAGACGCATGGTCTGACAGAATATTTTACTTCGTTGTAGCGGAAAAAATGAAAAACTTTACGTCAAATATTGATAAATAACGATTTCGCCACTTCAATACTTACTTGCAAGCTTTCTTTATAGCTGTTCTGTCTCTGAAAAGAGTTTTCACAGTATCTATATCTATTTCTCCTGGGTAATCACTTGTTGGTAAAGCTTTATCTCCGCTTTGACATTCAGTTGTATTTGTACTAAATGTAGAACAGATTCTAGTATCAATAACTTGTCCGTTGACACTGTAGCCTATTTTATAAAGATATTATAATTTAAAAAAACAATAATAAACACATCATCTTAAGATATTTTTAGACGTTTTCTTTCACCGATATAAACTTTTAATAATTGTAATATTAGTGCATTATTTCCATCATTTGAGATTTTAAATTGTTCAGAGGTCTTTAACGTGAAAGTCTGCAGATTATGTGGTATCAGTTTATTGATCCTTCCTTTTCATGTCATCCCTTACCTCACACTATGTACATTTAAAGAATGCATTTTTTTTATTGTCGTTTTGAACGAATAGGAGGGAAGTTTAAAACAAATTTAACAAATATGTAAGCCATTTACAACTCAATCTTTAACCCCTTGTCAAAAGAGTCAATATTTATGTTTATTATTAATAAATTATTCATGGAACGATAGAAAAAGACTTGCACCGAAGTGTATACCTGTTTCTCAGATAACCAAGGCGATAATATATATAACACATCTATTTGAAGTTTATATGATTGTGAGTTGTACTTGATAGAAATAATAATTTAGACCGGCTCTTCTATTCTTTCCTATTATGAATGTAAGTACATTACATCTTATCTTATGCAATCAGGAATACAATATGAACATGAATATATTGAGTACCTAACTTTTTCATCCTACTAATAAAATCAGTCTGCCACCTTAATATGCACAATAAAATTTACTCCTAATTTTTTGTCATCAAAAATACTATTTGTAGCACCCTTACCTATGAAGACCACGCATAATACTAATCTATTAATCATTCTCCTCAATCCTAGAATTATTCCAAGTATGATATTAAGTTTTGGGCTGGTTACTCAATTTATTTATTACTCAACAGTCATTTATATCTCATCCAAGAGCGTTGTTAGGTAACAATTGATTAATAATTTAAAATATTCTTCAGCTTGAACCAATCACGTTGCATGTCGTATTATGATACACGCATTATATAGGTTTGTCTAAAATCAACATTTACCTGAGACATAGATATTCCTAGAATGTAAATGGGAAAAAATTGTGTCATATCGCAAGCATTTGCCATTGAAGAGGAAATTCGGACACACAGTAAATATTGCCTATTGAGAGCAATACCAGTTCAAACAACGAGCAAGACCAAAGAATAGTCTTTAAA